TCATTTTATGACTAATTCATTCTTCATATCCGTTATGACAATATCACGTATTTCAGTTTATAACCTTAGTCACTTTATTTGACCCCAGTCTGTTTATTTTATATGCCGATATCCTACTTTCTCTCCTTACCTCCACTATTGAATACTAAAGACTTTATCAGCTATGTGACAAAAAATGGCATATATGAATTTTTTGTACTATGCCCCTGATAGTGATCACCATAAAATCATATAAAAAGAATCTTTTTGCCCACCTCACTATAATAATCATTTGCATCAGTCACCTTCAGTGAAAAAGTCTATTATTCTGTTACTGATTAAATGTTTCAAACGAAAAACTCTGCCATAAATAACAAATCTAATTTAAATGTCAATTAACTCTACATAGTGAATGGTCTTCATGTCAATTGTGAGAAATTTGATTAGGTTACTTCTAGAATTATTTTTAAGATTTATGCTAATATTATCTGCAAGTACTGATGACTATTGACTCGAAAGTACTCTATTTTTACACAAAGTGCTGTTACGCCGAGAAGCATGAATATATTTCTAAATTATTAAGGTGACAATTCTCAAAAGCTAAAAGAACTGTTGGTTGCTGATTCTTAAGTAAAAGAGTTCTTTATGAAATAAATAGTAAATTTGAAAGAAGAAAGCAACGTTTCTCCAATGACTTTCTGAAAAATAAGGCAATTTTGAGTAACTTTAAGGAAGATTTGCCTTAATATAATTCGTAGTATTTATTTGCTGCTTAGAAACTTTCTTCAACAAGAGCCCTGTGCCGAAGTCCATCGGATTTCTCCCTTCCTTGTCAACCAGTTCGAGATTGAATTAAGTCTATTTTTATTTTGGCCTTGCCTTTGCCGAACCACACGTATGGATCCCACACTTTTTCTAAATAAAGCAGAGCTTGCAGTTTCCGTATGCAGGCTAGTCCGGACACCTGTCCACCTCGGCCTTTGCGTAGTCTCTCATTCTCCAAATCTCTACTATGGGTTTACAAACGGCATTTCGGTTTTGCTCCATTAATCCTGGCCACGATAAGGAGGCAGAAGAGAAGGCATAGTGAAAAGAGTGTGTGGGCATTTTGCCTTCGGGTCGCTGAAGTGGATAAATTTATCTAGTACATTCCAGACGTGTGCTATTTAGTTAAGACGATACCCGTTTGCTATTGGTAAATGTTTCCACTTTAAATATGGACAGAAAACCTTCGGGTAAGGATACGTGTTAGTGAGCGATTATTCTGAGCCTGGATATATTTGTTATCTCCTTGAAACGCTGCAGCCTTTACGAGAGAGTTACGCGTTTTTGAGGTCTAAAACGAATTTTCGATTTTCACATCAAATGGGCAAGAAGATACAATTAAAGCATTTCGGGCGTGTTCGTGTCCGATTTTTTTAGTAAAAGGGTCATCAAGGCCTGGTTGAAGCGATATACAGTTTTCAATAAACCATCTTTAGACATCTCATATTCTGAGGACGTCTATCTACGTACATTTTCATTCATCGTTCGATACCAAAAACGTTGCCAATATTGCAATCAAGAGAAAGGGTAATTAAAAGCGCTCTGAGGAGAAAAGGCTCTGACTTCGAGGCTGCAAGCTCTTTACATTTTTTACATTCAAGCTTTGCTTTTCGTTCTCTTATTGTTTAATCTACCCAAACTTGGTAAACTCTCAGCTTTCCAATGCTCCGTTCACACCGTAGCTTGGCAAATCATGTATCCGATTCAACCGGAGGTTTGGCTTGCTTAGCAAGTCAAAATAATGTGTGTATGTGTATGTGTAATAGTGACTGACAAACATGACGAAATTATCAATAGAAGTATTGGGGTGAAATATGATTTGCCTCAAAATATAATCCCCCATTTTGATGCATTCTAAATGCTTTATGTGGCCGGCATTGGCTGGAGAGACACCGTGTCATCAAGGAGCGATGTATCCAAATTGTAAGAGCTAAAAACCGTTCAGCATGATAACCACTTGAATGGGAATATCTGGAAATTTTAATAAACCTTGACTTATATATATGTTGTTTGACTTTGGCTTCGCAACTTTGTAATATTAGCAGGAAAACCTGGAGGAACGCACCCTGTCCAGGGTTCATAGTATGCATGATCTGACCGTGGATTTGATACATTCCCAGACGTTTCGCCGGCATCGTAGTCGGCGTCATCAGTGAGTTTGCCATTCTCAGCAAACCAAGCTACAACTCGTCAAAGAGACAAGTGAAGTCAATCTCTTGACCAACTTTCTGTCGAGACGGTTATGCTATCACCCCTCGTTTTGCTCTTGTCCTTCCATCAATTTCATACCCTCTAGTATCACCCTCGTCCTAACACAACTTATGACATGTTTATATTCCACACGAGATGTGCCCTTTTGGCGAATTTACCGTGCTCCCCTCCCTTTCGAGTGACTGATCCTGCTCTAGTCTCCTGTCCAGATCTGCTTTATGGACCTGTGGGACCGTTTCTTTTCCTTCTGGCTGACCGATTTCAGCGTACTTTTATTCCAAGTGCTATTTTTCAAGCCTTCAGTAGCACGCACAAAGTCGCCTTATCTTCAGAGCGCCAAACCTCGGATTCCCATGCTTGTGGATATTAGGCATTACCTTCACGCATTCTATCCTCAATTAAGCCCATGTACCTTGAGCAAACTTGGACATCTATCACTGGTCGCCTACTGCTTCGCAAATGGACTATTAGCCATTTTGTCACAATACCCGATTTCTGTGTTGTCTTATATCCCTCGGCCTAGTCACTTGAAACGTCGGGCCCCCAAATTGTAGTTGTCTATTCAAGCTGACTACTCTCACTGTAAACGTCTTCGCTTCATTTCCGAAACCTCGTCACCCTCTTCTTCCTTGCGATCCACTTTCCTCTGGTTTACGATAGATCCTTGATCTAGGTGTCTCCTCTTTGCTTGTCTTCTTACATCCCTGTTTTCTCCGAGTTTGATTAGACAATAGGCAAAGTTATTGTTGACTCTGTCTTCTTCCACTCTCATATTCAGTAATTTTTTTCCCGTAAGCATGTCAATGGCTTCTCTAATCTTCCGCTGTGCTTTCTTTGCGCTTTCACTGTATGAGGCTCTTCCTTCTGTTAACCTCCAATTGATCTCGTGTCCAGTCTCTGCGATGTGTTCCGCTATATCTGATCTTTCAGTATCCCTTTTCCTGCAGAGTCTTTGATTTTTCCTGATTGGTATTCCAATTTTTCTCCCAGTTTTGCCGCGTAGGTAAACTTATGAATAGTGTTGTTTTTTCCTTCGTGGTCACTTGAATATTCCATTTTCTTAATATTGGCCCTAATCTTTGAGCTAGTTCGCAGGAAGGAAGACATATCCACTTTTGTCAGTCTTTCTTCATCCTTACCTTTCTTTTATAATCTCCATCCTGCCGTTGGCTCTTCACGGCAAGTATGCTTCTTTGAATTACTTCTCTCGGCCATCCATTACCAAAAAATATCGGAGTCAATTTTTTTAAATTCTTCATCCCAGAATTTCACGTCTGCTAATCATAGGCTTCTGACGATCATGCTCCTCAGTATGCCTATCTTCATTCTATAGTTGTGATGAGACTCGGAATTGAGTATTATTACGGCATATTACATCTTTCGGAACATCTTCCTCTTGAGTGTCCCAGTAGAGCAAATAGCCTCCACATCTATGAATGCTAAACACTCTTCTTCTTCTACATCCATTGTGAATTTGATTTTTTCCTCAATCCCGTTCATAAACTTCAGGAAATCCTCCATGCGACCATATTGCAAAATAGTCATCCAGGTACCGCATAATAACTTTTGGTTGCAGCAGTGACACCTTAAAATTATCTTCTAATTTGTCCATATATACATTGGCCAATAGAGATGAGAGAGGTGATCCCATAGGAAGTTCAAATGTCTGCTCATAGATGTTGTCATTGAATCTGAAGTAGGTAGTACCTATCGTCAAGTTGTTTAATCGTGTTAACGACTCCCTTCTGATACTCTCTGCTTTTAAGATATCCTCTTCTTGATCCAAATTTCTCACAGAGTATTCAGCGCCATTTCTCCAGGAATGTTTGTGTACATAGATTTTACATCAAAACTTACCAGTAATTCTGTTCCTTCCAGTGTTATGATTTTGATCTTCTGAGAAAATGTATATGAGTGCTTCACTGTGTTTGACAATCTGCCGTTTACCTTCTTGAGCTTCAGACATATGAACTTTGCTCATTTGTGTGTCGCTCCAAACTTGTTGCTGACTATCAGCCTTAGTGTTTCTCCATCTTTGTGTAACTTCGGTAACCCGTAGGCTGTTGTTGGTCGTGCATCCTTTTTTATTAGTGAATTTATTGTCCATCCACTGATCTCCCCGTTCCTGCGCATACCTTCCAACATGTCCCGTAAGGTTCCATTGATCCTCATAGCTAGGTCCTTCATTGGCAGACGATAGGGAGTCCTGTCTTGCAGTATATATTCCATTTTCTCTGTATGGTGTTTTCCGTCCATTACAACTGTCGCTGCTCTTTTGTCCGCCTGAAGGACCAATTGTTCATTTCTTTCTAGGATCCATCGAATCCTCGAAAATATGTTTTTGTGCATTGGTTAATAATGTTTCAAGATTCTAAGGATTATTTCCATCTCCATTTCCCGTTTTGTCTCCTAAAGAACTTGTCGGAGATATTGATGACCCCCCCCCAGAATGTCCTCTAGATCAGTAGTTCCCAAACTTTTCTTAGTCGCGGCGCCCTTTTTCAATTAAATTTTCTTCTATGACGCCCAACCCTAAGTATGCCTATTCGTTTATTTTATTAATATTTAATTAATATTTAATAATTAATGTGATGGATGAGCCTTCAAATCACTGCACATTTTCTCAAATTGAAGTTTTTACAATATTTCGCGGCGCACAGTTTGGGAATCACTGTTCTAGATTATTTATGCGATTTTGAAGAGAAAAGTTTAGTCCTTTATTCAGGATCGTAGTAGTTTCATGATAATAAGAAAGCAAGGATAAATTAACCAGGTTGTTACCTTCGTCGTTCTGTTCAGTAGGTATCGTCGCCTTGGAAGTCCCTTCAACTGGACGCACTGGCTTTAACCTACGTTGGCTTATAATTCTATACCTAAGCAATTTATTGTAGTCCTTTTTTGTTATCATGTATATTATGTACTCTGGACAAGGTGCGTTCCTCTAGATCTTCCTGCTAATATGACCAAATTGTGAAACCAAGGTCAAACAACTTCTATACAACGAAAGGAGACTGCGAGCATACAAACGGCCACACTATCCTGGTCTTCATACCTTCGCATGACTTATATGTTCACAAAATCTTTAAAAGAATATATTTGCTGAAAATTTTCCGCTTGCAGATTTTAGAATGAAGTTAAAACGGAGTATTTGATTTCTTAAAAAGCTATGCGCCATTTTCAAGAAAATATTTCGGCTAGTACCAGCTACTTTTCAGAAGTGGACGACAGAACATGGCCTTCGGGAACTTAATTAACTTTGATAATTTGCCAAGATTATATCATCACTAGTAACCTTTTAGACAAACTTCGGTCGAAAACGTAACTTAAATTTTACTTTATTTTTCGCATTTAAGTATTGTTTCGAGACTACCAGTGAATCAGTACTATGAGATGTATTCACCCAATTTCGTTTAAGGTGATAAAGGACTGGTAGAAGAATTTTCCCACAATGATATGAGTAGAGTTGACGTTTCCATTGAATTTCACATAGCCTTGCTTTCCCAAACGAAATTGGGTGAATATATCTCATATTACTGATTTACTGGTATTCTCGAAACAATACTTAAAGGCGAAAATTAAAGTAACGTAGTCGATTGTTATAGCAAATAGAAGTTTGCTTCATCGACAATCCCACCAAAGAATATGATATGACAAAAGGCTTGGCCTTCCTTGAAATTCACATTTTCCTTGTGATCCAAGGACACTGGTGGCAATTT